ATGTATAATTTACATATAGTAATAATCACCATTTTTAGGTATACCATTCTGTGAATTTTTTTTTTTTTTTTTTTTTTTTTGTAGCTGGTTGGTAAGGGGATTCGAGCCCATGACCTTGGTGTTATAAGGCTCTAAACAACAGTGCTAACTGGCCAGCCCCATTCTATGAATTCTGACAAGCTTACACAGTCATGTAACTACCACCACAATCAAAAAGTAGAATATTTTCATCACCCCTGCTCTGTTTGCTTGAGACTTGGAGTGAGTAACTACAACCGGCAGAGCCTACTGCCGATCTGTGTGAACGCATAGACAATAGATAGGTAGCTTGGGTGAGAAATACACCTGTATAGTTTAAAGCTATCGAGACTTGGGAGCAGTTTGCTATAGAACAATCAGTTTATATTTATGGATATAGAAGTCTTGTGTTTTCAGCACTGGTGAATTTTCTTGTATTGCTGCTTTGGTTATTTCCTCTTTCTTGCTCTCATTTTCTTTCTTTCTAGAACTGTAACTTTTGGACAGATCCTCAATGTCACAACTTCCCTTTGTCCTTTTGGTACTTTTCTGGGGGAAATCCTCAGTTTAACCTGTTAGCTCACTGCTATATTTTTCAGTCTTACTCATTTTGCTATTCAACACAGCTTTTAAAAAAAATCATATTTTAATGTTTATATATTTAGATTTATTTTCCAAGGCCTCTATCTGCCTGTTTTTCATGATGGGTCATTGCTTAACAGGTGCAGAATCTTCTGTATTCTTTCTAGGGCTATGACTTATTTTTAAAGTCTTCTGTCCGTTCTGTTCACTTCTTAGTTCTCAGGTAGCTTTCTTCCAGAGTGCTGGCTTTCCTTAAATGTTTGCTGACTTTTGCTGGTCTGTAGTTCTTCGTGTCTGGAAATTCCTATTTGCCTGACTGCTGATTTGATTTCAATGGAGTGTTTCTTCTGATTTTTTTTTTTTTCCTTTTTGTCTTTGTTCGTGTCCGGCAACGGATCGCAACCCTCAGTGTCGCGCCCGTACCAGACCGGGACCGGCAACGGGATCGCAACCCTCGGTGTTGCTCCCACACCTCGCTCAGCCAGTGAGCGGGAACCGGTCTGTATGTGGGATCCGAACCCTCGGCAAACGGATCGCAACCCTCAGTGTCGCGCCCGTACCAGACCGGGACCGGCAACGGGATCGCAACCCTCGGTGTTGCTCCCACACCTCGCTCAGCCAGTGAGCGGGAACCGGTCTGTATGTGGGATCCGAACCCTCGGCAGGAGCGCCGCCGCGCTCCCAAGCGGTGCACTGTAGCAGTGCGCCACCAGGCCGGCCCGTTTCTTCTGATTTTTGAAGAAGAGATGGCTATCCTATGAGGAGATTTGTCTGGGTGTGGGAGCTCCTTGTCCTCCACGGGGGGGTGTTAGCTCACTGTGGCACTGCCCTGCATGTGCACCCTCTGTACACTTGCTGTCACTACCCACTACTGAGCAGGAGGGGTGGTAGGGACCATCAGCTTAGGTTCTCTGCAAGCATTTCCACAATTCCCTGAAAACTGTACCTGAGACCTTCTCTTTCACCTTGCAGTCACTGATTGTGAGCTTGGCTCACTCTCCATAACTGATCCTAATGCTCAGTGGTCCTTTGCTTCCCGCATGTCTGTTTTTGTTACTAGTTAAGGATCTTTTAAAAAATTTTTTTTGCAGCTTGCCAGAAAGGGGACCTAAATCCTTGACCTAGGAGTTACAAAAATGCTCTCTAACCAACTGAGCCAAGTGGCCAGCCTATTCCTGCATATTTAACTGCAATTTTCCTTAAGTCTTTTTTCCCTAATACAGTCTCTTTTAGCTCATTTGGTTAGATTGTGGTGCTGATAACCAAGGGTTAGCAAAAAAAAAAAAAAAAAAAAAAAAAAAAAAAAAAAAAAAAAAGGTGCGGGCCGGTATCAAAAAGAACAAAAAAACCCAACCAAACAAACAAACAAAAACCAATTTATGGTGAAGATTAAACGAAGCATTATTCTGCACCAAATAGGGTCCACGGGTCACTACTTTGGAACTTCAGCCCAAAGGGGTTATCTCCTCCCAGGGAACTGATGTTTAATTTTTAAAATTTACAACAATGTATACAAGCAATACACGTTTATTTGGGAAATTAGAAAATATAGGTAAGAGGCCGGCCCATGGCTCACTCGGTAGAGTGCGGTGCTGATAACACCAAGGCCACGGGTTCAGATCCTATATAGGGATGGCCGGTTTGCTCACTGGGTGAGCGTGGTGCTGACAACACCAAGCCAAGGGTTGAGATCCCCTTACCGGTCATCTTTATAAAAAAAAAAAAAAAAGAAAGAAAGAAAGAAAATATAGGTAAGCATAAAGAAGAAAATAAAAATCAGCCTACCCAAAAAAACAAACACACAAAAATCAGGCTACCCAGAGATAACTGGTGTTAACAATTTGGTACACTTTCTATGTTAGTGTGTATGTTACACAAATAAATACATGAATTTTTGTAATTGAAATCAAACTACTGATAACTATTTAAAAGTTGTTTTTCCACTCAAAGCTATATCAAAGGCATCTTTCCATGTCAATAAATATACATCTAATACATTTACATCATTTAATGTATAGTGTTCCATTATATTTGGGGCTGTAATAGATCCAATGAATTCCCTCTTGTTAGATATTACATGGTTTCCAATGTTCACTGGCATAAATGGTGCTATAGTCATTTGTACACATATCCTTAGGAAAAAATTCTAAAAGTGGAATTGTGTCAAATGTGGCTGGGCACTTCAGAGTTTACCAAGGAGAAAAGTCTTCAGCTAAAGGAATGCAACTCAAAAGGTGGACTTTCAGATATTTGCAACCAGTGCTGAGAGCCATTGTTCCGGCAAGAGGGAAACTCAGACTCATATCCGGAAGCTGCCAGTCCATCTGGGCCACCCACCTTGCAGACATTTGGGAAGGTGTTATCCAGCCATTTTCGAAAAAGCCATTCGTCTCCTTCAGGGGCCCCTTGTCAGAAGAAGGATGCGGCAGAGCGCTCAGCCCCCACCCAAATCTGGAAGAGAAACAAGCTTCAGAGCAGAGCGCAGGAGTGGCTGTGGAGGACTCAAAAGACCCTGCTGGGATTTAGGGTGGGTGCTCCTGCTGCCCTGCCACACCCAACCCCAGGCTGGCTTTCAGCCCCTGAAATCTAGACAGCTTTCTAGAAGCGCCTAGAAGTTAGGTTGAGCAATATGATTTGTTTCTGTGGGTCAAAAGTGGTCGACTCTTGGCAATTTCTAGGCATTTCTGGACTGGTGGATTCAGTTCCTTCAACCTGTAGTACATTTATTTAGGGCTCATTTTGTGCCAGGTACCTTGCTAAGCACTTTATAGCCATTTTTAAGTTGTCACAACTTTCAGAGAAATTTCTTCTCTGTCAGTGGAGAAAAGGAATTGTTCCCCATTTGACAGAGAAAAAACTATGGCCCAGAATTTCCCCTTTTGGAATTTGGGGCTGGTTCGACCGCCAAATTCCGAAACAATAACAGCAGTATTTTGAGTTGTAGTTAAAGGAGCTGAGGTCTCTGGAGGCAGAAAGCTCTAGCTCTGCCACCAGCTGTAATGCCCTGGGAACGTGCCTTAACTTGGCAGGGCCAGTTTCCACCTCTGTGGATGTGCGGTCTCAGTGAGCAGTGTTCTTGATCTCGTCTTCGCGTTAGAAAAATCCCTTCTGTATTCAGAGACCCAGTCTTCTAGTCAATAAAACGGCACAATAGCCACAAGGCCCCGCAAAATCACGAAGGAGCTGTTAGGACTGAGCTGCCAGGCAGGAGAAAGCGGTGCCTAGGAGGGGAGAGGGGAGGAGGAGGGGAGG